ACAGCCTAGCTCCTAAGAGACCCTTCCTTGTTTCCATTTTACACAGCAAGATAACCTAATGTTTAGGGACTTAGGCAGGAATATAAAGGGTTGAGATGAAATACACCTCCAGTGCCAAAAGGATTTTGCTTTGACAGGTTGGTTACAAACCCACACAAAGCCCCTGGCTTCTCTTCCTAGCTGTACAAAACACTTTCCTTTGATAAAACAACTTACCTTCTGAATTTCTTTCAGCAGCACACCATCTGTCATGAACTTGATCTGTGTTTCGTCTGTAACATTGCCTTCATATCGGATTTGATATGAAACCACTCTGTGAGGAAATACCAGGGTAGCCATAAGAAAAAGCATGGGGAGAAACAAAATTCACGTTCAGACCAGGAGACAGCTTTCAGCCTACCTGAACTAAAACCTGATGCCAAAGCAAAGTGAAACATCACATCATCAGCTCCCCAGAGCTGAACAATGAGCAAGATTTCAGTCTATGACACACACAGAGCATCTCTTTGCTCTGTGTTAGAGAAGAGTTATCTTTCTAGCAAGGTCTCAGCTTTTCTGCTCACCTGTTTGACAAGTTCATTTCCTTAGCGACTCGCTGGGACATGGACACTGCAGCCACACGTCGGGGCTCGGTGATCCCAATAGCACCATCTGAACTAAAAGGGGAAAGGAAAGAAAAGGAGGGGTTGTTTGGCTGCTTGGTTTAAAGAGAGGAACACTCAGAAAGATGACAACAGGATTTCTGCACAATGGCTCTAAATTAAGCAGCATCACTCAATTCACTTGTAGTTATAGTTAGAAGAAAAAGACAGAAAGGAAGCTTTGGGATTACCCTCCTATTTATTACATGCATATGGATCTGAAAATGCATGTATGGCAGGAATTTGTTCCCCAAAATCTTGTATCTGTAATTCCAGCTCACTGAACTCTGGTCCCTCTGAACATCCCTCTGGCAACAGAGTCTATTTCAGAAGACACTCAGACTGGGGCAGAAGCAGCAAGAAGCTGAATGCACCTTGATGCAACTTGAAAGTAGTATTTTATGAGGTGCCCAAGCTTAGGCATTTCAAAGCCTGCTTATGTGGAGAGACTGATTCCAAGTCAGACTAATTCCCTTCAGACTATTTGGAAGCCCATTCAATGCAGCCACTACCACTGCACAGAAAAGACCAGGTTCAGTTCAGCCGTATCAGAAGAAAAAAGAACCAAAATCAGAAGTAATTGAGCTCAGCTTGAATTTTTCTACTGACATTTGCTGCATAGAAAAGAAGATTCATACCTGGCGTAGCCAGCTTCATAGAGAAACTGAGGTACTTGTGTGGTTTTACCGCTTCCTGTCTCTCCACAGATGATCACAATGGGATTCTCACTAATGGCTTCCATAATGACTTGCTCTTCAGCAAGAATTGGAAGCTTTAGTCTTGCTTCCTAAATAATATAAACCACAGGATTGAAAACCGTTACTTTCCTCTGATTATAAAACCCACAAAAAGGAATTCTGCAAGCTTTGTGGCTGGAAAAGCTCTAAACCAGCTAATACCACACCAGCAAGAACTAGAGCCATGAGAACAGATTCCCAGAAAGCAGCTGGCAAGCCCTGCACTTTAATTTGTGAACCTTCAGAGTCCCTTGAGTTTATTAATATAGCATTTCGAAGCAAAACTCATTTCACAACTCTGTCTCGTCTGCTCAGAGACATGCAGAGCTCTTCCCTTTTCTACAGAACACCCTACCTACACCAAATGGAATAAAATTATCCAGCAGATGATACAGCATAATGGAGAGCTGAAAGTGACTTCACAAGACTTTCCAGTGAAGAACACTAGACGACTGCTAATGGATTCTACATTTAAAACTAGAGGCAAATGCTTACATCCTAAACCAAAACTAGTTTTCCTTCTGCTAGATTAGACAGGCTTAAAGCTCAGATGCACATGTACAACTTGCCAGAATGAGGACCCTAACTGCACACTGCTGCCACGCTGTATAAGCAAGAGACCCAATGTAGTGCTACAGCATCTGCAGTGACCTAATAGGATGGGAGACACTAATTTCCGACACCTCGCTGTTCACAGAGCCTCACCTGAATCTCAGGAGACCTGTCCACTGGAATGAAAACTGCAGGCTTGCAAGGCAGTTTGCCGGAGGCTGTCTGGTGAACCGGCACGCTAGGACCAGCGGGTTGCTCGTTCATCTCTGCCACCTTCACATCTTCCTCTGGCTTTTCAGCAGTATTTAAATCACTGGCTGAGGACTTTTCTATTTCTGGTTTCTGCTCTTCCTTCTCCTCATCAGAACTACTGGGTTCTTCCTCAGGCTCTGACTCTGAGCTGTGTTTTCTCTTGCTTGGCTCCTGCATTATCCTAGAACAAAACATCAACGCATAAACTATGTTTCAGCCAAACTTCTCCAGGACCTCAAGCCAGGCATGTCTTCTACTCAAACCAGACAAGTCACATCATCAAAAGTCACTGCCTGAGCCTGAACCCAGGTTTCACTCAAACAGGGAAAACCTTCTACACCTCGAGCACAGTGCGGCACAAGACGACATTACCCCAAAAGGCTAACCCAGTTCTCCAAGGATCCCATTCTTGGAGTTTCTCACAGGTCTGCTAGGTAATAGCTGGATTCATATCTAAGCATACTTTATACTGGTATTTATTCATTTCTTCACAAGACATCTCTGTAGCTTAATTTATTTCAACTTCTGCCAAAATGCAGCTCTTGATAAATTCATAACTAAGGTCTGCATCAGTCAATACTTTCCAATACAACAAAAGAGTTTATCCACCAATCATGTAGTTTAGCCTAATTTGTAAGACTATGGGGATGTAGTTGCCACCCAGCTCATCCCTTATGAAAGGGAAAACCAAGTCACTTTAATTAACATCTTCTCAAAAGGATGACAATCAGGAAAATAGCAACCATATTATCAGATAAAGCCAGAAAATTACCTAACTCCATCCATTCTGAAGAACCTGTGAGCAGTAAGAAAATAAATCCAGCAAAAAAAAAAAGCTAACAAGGTAAAAAAGTTTTCCACCACGGCTATAAGCAAGAATGGTTCTTTCCAAATAAAACTTTACCTTTTGGTGCGATACATGCGCTTCCCAGTACCCAGTTTGGAAGTAGTGTAGAGCAGTTTCATTTCTGCCTCAGAAGCCTGGACCTCATTCAGCTTGCTCAGCAGCTCAGCTCGCTATTTGGGGAAAAAACAATCAGAATCAGTGCTTATTGTCACCAGGAAATTACTTCAAGATCTGTGCTTCAGTTTTAAAGGCTGTGCTCTGGCAAACCTTGCTGTGAGGTTGTAAAAATATTCCTGCTACCTGGTCAGTCCTCCCTGATGAGGATTTCAGCCCTGCACTAGAAACACAGGCTTGATCCTTCATCACTGCAATGAAAAGCTCAGCTAAAGCCTTCAAACAGCAGCCAAGAAAATGGATTTGGACTAAAATGCTGGAGCGAGGGCTGGAGCAGTGGAAGGCTCCCTTCAACTCCCTCACATGGGACACAGCGCAGGCAGTTGGCTGCAGCTTTAAACTGCCTCCAAAATTAAGAGTTTGTTTGTCAAAGCAATTTTCAGATGCTAAAACAAACAGGAATTATCCCTGGAAAGCTTTTGCAAGGACAGAAAAGCTTTGTCTGCATACAGAAAATATACTAGAGCTGGAAATACATGTCTCGGAAGCACCAGCAAAGTTAGGGGTGCATCAAGCTTTGCATTTTGCAGCAGAACAAAGCTTCTCATGCAACCTGTTTCACAGAATGCTTTTCAAGCACATCATCATTTCCTCTGCTAGTGATGTACTTCATAACACTTGTCTATTTGGTCAGGGTCAAAGAGAGAAAGGGAACCAGGACCCAGAAATGACGTGTTCCTGCAACACCTGAACTGCTGAGAGGGAGGGGACTGCTCCTCCCCACTACAGTTCATAGGATCACAGACTGGTTTGGGTTGGAAGAGACCTTCAAGCTCATCCAGTCCCAAGCCCCCTCGCCCCAAGCCCGGGCCACGGGCAGGGACCCCTTCCACTAGAGCAGGTTGCTCCAAGCCCCATCCTCAAGAGTCCACAGGTGGTGGCACATCTTTGCCAAAACACCCAGCAGAGGGACGGCTGATGCTGTTGTAACATAAACTCACGAACTTCAGCGCCTGCATGTCCCTCACAGTTCACATCCCAAAACCTACTCGCTGGCACTGGTCACCCCACCTCTAGCTTTTCACACCAGCAACGCAATCCCATCACATGCCACCACTGCCAGTGCCACAGCACAAGGGAAAACTCAACAGCTGCTCATTGACATCAACCGTTTCCATTCACGGACATTAAATTACCCTCTGCCCACAGGTCACAAAGCTGGAGTCACCAGCAAGCAGCACTGTACCTGTTTTTTCTTTTCCTTCTGCTCTAAAATTTTCTGCAGGTGTTTCTTCTGTTTCTTGCTGAGGGGTTTCTTCTGCTGTTGCACAACACATGCCACTTTTTTCTTCTTTGCTTTCTTCGCTGGCAGGACCAGGGCGTTGCTTTCATCAATTCCCTTCAGCGTCACTTCATCTGAAAACACACGTTCCATCACCCACCGGTGCCAGGCAGGTTATTTTCAGCGCACCAGGCTTATCACAACCCAGACTGGATTTCGCTGTTTTAAACAAACACAAACCTCACCCCCAGCCAAAAATAAAACCCGTATCAGCAGCATGGGCAAAAAGACCGTGAAAGGGAGATCCTAGGTCTTCTCTTAGATGCTTCCTAAAGTTCTGAGGGTAATTTTCCTTGACTTACAGAAGGCTCCCACAAAACTTTTGCCTTCTTATTTAACTACAGGCAGAGCAGCCGGGGACATGGGTGTCTCGGGGTGGCAAAAGTAACTTTCAATACTAAAAAGCTGTCCTACTAACGTTTGAATAATGACAGCAGTATAATAAATGTGGGGTTTCAAACGCGACATTTAAGAATGCAAATGCTAAACGTAAGAATATTCTTAATAACCGCTTTGATAAAGATTTGCAGGAACTGCTTCAATAGAGCTACAGATGCAAGGCCTGTTAAGAGGCTCTAACTAACTTCAGCTCTTCCACTAGAGATATACTAGAACTACAGCAAAAACACGGAGCTAATTCTAATCTCAGCAGCTCTAATCTCGCTCCAGCGCCGTTAGCAACCCAGGTCCGCAGTAACGACCACAACGCGCGGGCCGCGGAGCACTGAGCCGGGTGGCCCCGACAC